GTTTTAAAGAGCATGCGAGAGTTAGGCGAATTGTTAATTTTGTTGTGATAGTATGTCCTTTTAGCAGTGGAGGTATTAACAGAGAATGAAGAGAGGAGTGATCAATATACATTAAGGTCAGTAGGATTTTTTTATTTGCGCCATACTCTTTCTGCAGCTTTGAGCTTAGAACGATGCTCACGGGGAACATCAGATAGCCAAGGGGCAGAAGGGGTGGTAAGAGCTGGCCTGGAAGACAAGGGGCAGACAGTGTCTAAACAAGACGTAAGAGTGGAGCAGAAAGTATCAGTAGCACTGTTAACATCAAGAGTGTTAACACCAACGACAACTGTGCTAAACACTGAGACAAGAAATAAATACACTTACGAGCTGCTTTTAACCTCTGCTGATTGACTGCTTCTCTCAAAGAGTATATCTTTACACTGTGTTTTGCTGGTGCTTAAACACACTTTCCTGTTTATCACAACAAATGGCCAAGCAAGCGCACGACACTGACAAGGTACGCGATACAGTACGAGACTAAACTTATCCAATCCAGTGTTTCCTGTGAGGTTAATGTTAATTTTGCTGTGAGCTAGTTTAAGATCAGGTGTAATACTTTCAAATAAAAAATGTTTTTTTACTTTTGTTTGTGTGCAATGTTTACTTTTTTTTTTTGATGGTCCCCTTAGTCTAGGGCTGGGCGATATGGCCAAAAAAATTATCATGATAATTTTTCTCATATCAGTCGATATCGATAATTATCACGATAAATGTCAAACCTTTATTTCTTTCAAGTTTAAAGCCAGATTTTTGCTCCAAAGTGAAAGTTGTAGAAACCAGACCATAAATTTTCCTTAACAAAATAAATATCTAAATAGAAAAATTAATTTCTTAGTTTCTGCATGTTCTAATGAGTGATATTGTTTCAAATCAAGAAACAGGTTTGGGTTGCCTGATAACATTAATAATAATAATAATATCACTTTTTTGTCTCTTAGAAATACACATTTGATAGTAGTTTGAGTTAAGATGCAGAGGTAAATATTTGTTCATTATCAAAATCAGTAACATCTGTAAAAATTGTAGCAACCTCAGTTTTATACGGTTAAATTTATTCTGCCCAAGTTTTTTTTTTTTTTTTTTAATGTGAATATCCCACATTTCTGCCACAATACCATGGTGCAGTGAGTGTTACTACAGTAAATCCATGGTAAATTATGGCGATGTGTAGATTGAAAAGCCTTCTGACTGTCTCGTTGCACACAGTGTTTCTCCTGTTTGACTTTAAACTAGTTTAAATCACCGAGTCATTTGTGTTCATCGTTGAATTCAAGCACTTCACACTGGATCTCACAGCGCTGTTTAGTGCTCGCGTGACCGTGTAAACGCATCTGCTCTAGTGAGCTCAAACATACTACTAATACTCCAATGCTAGTTGACATGTAGTTGCAAAGTTACTTATCAACAGTTGTCTTAAAGGGTACCATCAAAACCATACTGATATTATAATAAAAATAGTTCAAAGCAAATGTGAACACATTCATCTGATCTGCTGTTTGAGAAAAAAATATTATTATTATTATTATTATTTATAAGTGGTCTTTGTCTGCTTTAAGTAAAGTGAAGTTACTTTACTTAAAGCAGACAAAGACCACTTATAAATAATAAGACCACATTATAAAGTATTTCCATCAAAACCATACTGATATTATAATAAAAATAGTTCAAAGCAAATGTGAACACATTCATCTGATCTGCTGTTTGAGAAAAAAATATTATTATTATTATTATTATTTATAAGTGGTCTTTGTCTGCTTTAAGTAAAGTGAAGTTACTTTACTTAAAGTAGACAGACCACTTATAAATCATAAGACCGCATTAAAAAGCCTTTTTTTTTTTTTAATGTTGAGATGTTCAAGATGTTTTCATGAAGAATTTCTATTTGTCATTTTACAGTAAAAACACTAATAAGATGCACCAAGTTATTGTGCAGATCTTAAACAATGGCAAGATATGAGACTTATAATACATTATAACTATGGGAAATATAATTAATTGTAACGTAAGTCAAGTGGATACAACATGTTCATTGTGTGTTGTAAATCATCAAACTCTTAAAAGCTATAACCACAAATCAGTATTATAATACATTAAAACTGTTCTTATGATTATTTATGAGATGATACAACATATAAGGTTTTTTATAATGCATTATTTATTCATTATAGTGCCTTAATATTAATGCCTTAATACCCTTATAATGTATTATAAATACGGGCTTCATAGAAAGCGTCACCAAAAGTCTTTTTGTAGAACCCACAAAAACGTATGTATTTCTGATTCGTAAAATCTGTTCTGCTAAAATCTGAAATTTCATTTGTTCTTGAAAAATGTCTCTCATCGAGGGAATAGTTATGAAACCAGAATTGTAAGAGAATCCTAATGAACATCATTACATTTCTTACCACTCATCTCAATTGTAGCCCTAATCACTATACAAACTGATGAGTTATTTGTGCAGTAAAGTGAGAAGTAGGCTTGCCGCGATAGACGGTGCTGACGGTGATACCGGTGTTAAGCCGCAACACCGGTTAACGTCACTTGCCCACCGCGGCACCGACCCCCACCGTCGTTTTGATTTTTTTATAGTAATAAAAATCATTGAGTTCAGTAAAAGAACAGACACTACAATTAAAAACTGAACGCGCTCAATGCGGCGTGCCGAACGGCAGTCGCATCACAGATCAGATTTCATTTATCCAGTGAGGAGAGTGAGTCGAGCTGACTGACAAGAAGAGTGAGGTGACGTGAGACAGACAAGACGATGGCGGATGATTTAGTTTCGAAACAAAATGCAAAAGCGCCTGTTTGGCAATATTTTGGATTTTGAAAAGCCTGTTGACTTTTGCCATTGACATTCGTTTTGCTAATAAACGTTATACGTTTCTTATTTATTTGGTTTGCATTCAAGCAATTGACGCCGAACTGCTGCTAATTCGAACAATTGCTTTATGCCGAATTGCCGCTGTCTGACATGGTAGTGACTAGTCTATATCACTCAACACATTAAGGCGTAGATAATTCTCCGGAGACAGTTCACTCCCTATCTCATAGAGCTTCTGTTTATAGTCATACATTAGGTTATCATCTAATGAATACAGTTTGTTAAAGTTAAATCAGATATGTCTAGACGTCAATGATTGCGAAATCCAAATAAAATGGTCAAATTTCAGGACAGCTACCCTTACAAAACTGGTTCAGTGAGTCAAACATATGATTTCAACACCATGACTGATAATACTTAGATGAGAGTTAGATACTCATGTCATTTCATTGAAGATATCAACAACAAGTGGCAAACATGATGTTCTATTCTCATAATGTAATGTTGTATGGAAAAGATCTTGCACAACATGAACAGTATCAAAGCATTCATCCCATAAACCCACCTTCTGGATGACTAACAATCAGTTTCTTCAATGTGTTGTATGTACCGATCTTGATTGTCCCGTAGGAAGCTTGTCGGAGGAGTGCAGGTGAAATTCTGTGAATAAAAAAACAAAAACAAAAAAACAACTTCAAGGTCAATGCTTTATTTCCATACTGAGGTTAATGTAAATCTAAATAGATAAATGTTTAAATGACAGACTATAATACATCACAAGTCCATGCAATGACTAACAAGCACATTTATTAATGTAGGGATTAACATAAAGCTTGAATGATTAGCAATTGCTGTTTTCTCAGAATAATCTAAATAGAGAACAGCATGAAATTGTCACTGTCAGGGTTAGAAAACATTGAAGTTTGCACATCATCAAACATTTGTCAAATGTTTTCTTATTCACAAAGCTGTACTGAGAAGACAAAGACAAAATCATGCAATATATATACATATATGCAAAGTTTTGTGCAAAGAGGTTCAACAGTAGGACATTTCACCATAGTTTCTTTCACAAGAAAAGCAGGACATGTGAAATGTATTTATTTATTTTCTGAATGGAAATATCTTTGCTAGACAACTACAGCATCGTCCCATTTCATAATTGAAATTTAGACAAATATCCCGCATATTCAATAACTTTTTTTACAGTACTACAGTCACAAAATTACAACACTTTAAAAAAGGACAAGATTTTTCTTACATACATTTAGAACTAGATTTAGATTTTTTTTTAAAGATGGCGCCCAGCCCACCCGTGCAAAATGCTGCCACAACGCCAAAGTGTTGTGAACAGTGGTGAGCAAAGTGGTGAATCTCCAACCGTCCATCCTGTAAATTCAGTTCCAATCCTGCTCCAGCAAACCTGCCTGTAATAATCAAGTAACCCTTAAGACTAATTAACCCTGAACACTAAAGTAACCCTGGAGACTCGCTCTTTTTGACTCAGGAACAGCTGAGATTGGATGAGTCCAATTCACGAATTAATCATCCTGTAAGATTTGCAAACCGATTCAACAGGTTCACTGAAAAGAATCGTTCACAAATCAAAGTTCAATCAAAAGTTGCAATGCTAACCAAATTTATATTAATAATAATGAATGCACAGACCTAAAAGCATTTTAAAAAGAAAATGATAGAAAATGACAGAAACTTACTAACTGTAAGCTTCTGGCCAGAAAAAGAAACAGCACATTAATATGCGAGATAATGGTTTGAAAAACAAGATGCTCAGTGACATAGACAACACGACTAAGCTAAACTCAAACGACTGCAGTCTGCTCATGCCAAAGCAGTGGGCCAGTTTCACTTGACTCAGCTCCTCTACAGACCCATGCAGACCATGTGAAATAAATATCATCTATATTTAGAGTTTATTACAGCTATCAGCTGTATTTAAAACCCTTGAACCATTGCAAGGGTTGCAAATATGCCTTTATAAAGGAACACAACCATGATCTTCAGAAAGTTAAACACAATAACACTGATGCTAAAGTAAAACAAAAATGCTCCAACGCAAATGAAGCATTTGTTGTCATTCAGAATATTCAAGTAATCTGCACTCACCCAGAGTACAATGCCCGGATGCCTTCTTCACGGCCAATCCTCAACAAAGCGTGGAACATTCCCCGATATCGGACCTCCATACAGTGCGTCTGCCCTTGAACCTGGAGCCTTGTTTTTGTGAGATCAATGGGAAACGTACCTGCAAGATTTAATTATCAAATGATCAATGGTGATTTAATAATCAAATCTTATATACTTTATTAAGTATACTAGTACTTCATCTATTAGCAGCTTCGGTTGTGAATGTATATTGTATCATAGATTTCATTTCTAATGTCCCACCCCATTTCGGAATGTTGATTTTCATGTTCTGCAATGTTATGTTGAACAAGAGCGTTCTTGCTTTAACAATCAAGGTTAATTTCAGTCATGTGCCAAATACAATGATTGTGATTCAATTTTTAAAGTTGTACAAATCTATATAAAAGAGTATATTTCAGTACAACAACTATTAATAGTACTAACAAATAGTAATAATAATGATATAACATAATAGTAACATAATGATACTAATAAAAAATAGTTATAATGCATATATTTTATTGTTGACGCCTAATGATTATTTACTTTTAATTGTGTCAAAAAGCAGAAACACGTTTCAATATTTAAGTTATTAGACATGTAAACAAAAATAACCAGTTAACGATCTGTAAATAAATAAATAAATAAAAATATCTATATTCTCTCAAATAATAATATGCATTATGGCACTTCCATTTGAGATAATAGCTTGTATTAATACCTTTTAATGAAGAAGTGATCTGTAATAGATGATAATGATGATGTAAAAACAGCAGGTGCACAGACTCACCGAATTCTGCGACAATTGAGGCCATTCCCCCATAGATAAACGGCTTCCAGTTCAGGTTTGCCATTTCTGTTGCGGCTCCTTCGGCTTGATGGAGTCCTACTAAAAACAGCAAAAACCCAAAATAGGAGCAGACCAGCTGTTTTAATCTCACATTGAACAACATAGCGCTACCCGTCTGTGTTCCAGCCAGTCTTGTCAGACGCATAGACAAATGTGCACCGGAATAAGACAAAACCGCATTAAAGATTCATTGCAAGCGCCCACAGGACATTTGCGGAAATCCTATTGGTTGTAAGCGCTGTCAATAATTGTGCCGGCAAAACCGCATTAAAGATTCATTGCAAGCGCCACAGGACATTTGCGGAAATCCTATTGGTTGTAAGCGCTGTCAATAATTGTGCCGGCGATCCCGATTAGTCGAAATTATCTCATGTTCCACCCACTTCCGCCGCCAACGACAGCAAGCAAAGGCTCGCCTATTTTGATGAAACCGTGTAACATTTAACTTTCTAGGTTACCGTTTAAAATGAAAAAAGAGCAGCGTATAGCCACCACACGCACGGATATAAATTAGACGTGTCTATGTTGTGGACGTAGCATAAAAAGGTCGCAGTACTTGGTTCCGTATCGAACATTTAACGGCTTGCAACCGTTAGCCAGGTAGAGTAGAACTACTCTGACCATTATAAAGTACAAAACTGAGTAATCACCACATTCTAGTCAATATCGTCTCATGAGCTCACATACCTGAGGCTTGGTGCTTCAGTCACCTCTGTTATTTTATTTTGGACTCCATCGTCTCAACCACATGTAAGATTAGTGTACTTTTCGCAGTCAAACTCCAGGAGCGCGTACAGCATTCAGTTTCCCATCATGTGTCTTTAGCTAGCAGGAATTCAACTCGCCGCGACCGGAAGTTCCCGCCCGGAAGTTTGAAAGAGACTAGACTCCCCCACCCCTCCCTTTCCCCTTTTCAATGTCATCCTGCCCCTCAAGGGGAAGCAGGCAGTGAGATTTGATTTCTTTTTGTTTGTTTTGAATTGTCAAATGTGGGTAGTCCTTCATGTAATAACCCCTTATAAACTCTCTATAATAGGTTATGTTTTAATTTATGCAGTCCATGTGTTGGCTCACTAAAAATAACAAAATTCAGAGATCAAAAAACTGTTGTAAACAATATTTAGTAACTTTATTTCGTTTTCATCTTTACACATTTTTATCACTCAATAGTAATCAGCAGTCTGCACCTTCTCCATAAAAAATATAAAAATGAAAATGTGTTTTGTGAAAAGCTACAGTTTAACTTCTTACAATAGGCCTTGTAAATGTTAAAGGGGTCATATGATGCGATTTCAATTTTTCCTTTCTCTTTGGAGTGTTACAAGCTCTTGGTGCATAAAGCTCATCTGAAAATGTATTAATTAGTTGATGTACATTTTAGAATACGAAGTTAAGATATTTTATGAATAAAGTCAAAGGTCTGGCATGGTCTTAATTGGTACTTTGGCACCATTTAAGCTCGCATGTGTTCCAAAATAAGCCCATATCATGATTTATTCACAATATATATATATTGATTTTAAAGAAGTAAAACATTAATGTATTTATTCAGTGACGGAAGTATTTTTTAAAAATCATTTTACTTATGTTTGCTATAGCGCTACCTGTACCAATAACATTCAACGTGAAAAACATACAGTATGCAAAGCAGAACATTTCATTATCTGTACAGATTGTAAAAAGACACATTAGCCACTTTTAGATCCCCACAACCTCACATTTTTCCTTCTTTCATTTTACACTTAGTCTATATAACATAATCTAGCTTCTTGCTTACAGTCTACTTGAAGACACTCTGAAATCTTGCTCTCTACCGCTGAACTGAGGAAGGTCTCCTGTCCCTGATGAGCATCAATCCTGATCTTGAGATTCACTCACTTCCTCAAAGACTTTCTGTCCACTCCAAACTGTTTTGCTAGACTTTTTTTCCCCCTGTACTCACATGCCTCTACAATTTTTGGACAGGTTTTTTCTCTTATTTGTAATTTTCTCACTGAAAACAAACGATACACATTAGCAGACGATTTTCATTGTGCCCATATTAAGAAATTGTACTTTTTTTTCATTCAAGGTTAGCTTGTGTTGTCTGTAGTTTGCATAAGTTTTGTGGCGCCGTACCATTTAAGCCCATGTAAAAAAAAAAAGTTAATACACTACAATACAATTAATGATGTATTTATTTGTAAATGAATGTAAACTGAATCACAAAACATTTAGTGTTTGTAGTTCACATGCTTAAGTCTTCAGCAGTCTATCATTCAGTAAGGCTAATGGTTTGACCTCGAGATTAGCTTTGTGCACAAGTAAAAAAAAAACGAATCTTTCCATTTAAAATAAAATTATATAAAAGGATAAAGTACTATTTATTCATACACAAAAAAACAATAAATTTATCTCTTATTTGACATAATATCAATATACTTAAAGAAATGGCTGAAAATTGCAGAAATGTGTTGATTTCTGAAGGGTCCTGAAACTCCAAAGTTTTTGGGTGTCTTTGTGTGAGGTCCCTTGAGACAGCATGCACATGAGTGGGGCTAACTCAACATTGGCAGATGTGATTGGTATGTAATAAAAAAAAATGTCAGGGAATAAACAAATCACTGAATTGGATAAATAATGGCCAGCATAAAATATGATTTTCTCGTCTTTTAATTTGACTTCAGAGTTGAAAGTGGGCTTAAAGGGTACACTTACCCAAGTTATTTCACAGTCCCTTGCAAGGATATTTATATTAGTATATTCAAAGTCTTTGTTTATATTAGTGTCTCTGTGTTTAACTAAAGAATTACCTATTGACTCTGTCTCTGTTTTGTCTGTGTATTTGCTCTGTTTATTCAGATCATGAGGTACGTTTTGATATGGCATATCGCATGTTGTAATGCAAGCAAGATTTTTCCATCTCTAACAGGACTGTGCTCCTACAAATACACACCAGCATCATTCGCAATGAACACCTCAACCTGCAAAGACATCACAAAGTGTCATTACCTTCCATTGTAAATCTCTCTTATGACTTTTTATGGATCTTTATAGACCATACATTTGAACACACAAACTCATTGTAAATGAGATGCACCTTTTAATGATGTTCTCACGCTCAAATGACCAGAGTTTTATGTCAGTAATGCTGATTTCATGATAAGTAGTCCATAGATGTTCGTTGTAGTTTGATGCAGTTGTGATGTCACAGAGTGGTGCGTAGGAGCCTCATCACACGCTGGTACAGCTGCTGAACAACTGATACGAGATTTCTGCAACACACAAAATATGTTTTGATTTACAGTTATTCATACACAGGATTTATTCTATTAAAGGGATCATTTACCCTTTCAAAAATAAAAATTGTCGTCATTTACTCACTCTCAAGTTGTTACAATTTACAAACCTATATGACTTCTTATGAAAAAATAAGTGTTTTTGTCCATACAATGTATATCTTGTGTGGACAAAAACAGCTGAAACACTCTTGAAAACTCATTTGTAATTCTTATTTGTAAATTGTTTTAGATAAAAGTGTCTGCTAAATGAATAAATGTAAATGATCAAAATATCCTATCTTATATTCTATTTATATTCTTGACAATTAAGATTAGATGCTTTCATAGTTTCTGTGCCCATTATGATCTTCTATAAATGCCTTTCAATATAAAATCTGAGACATCATGACTTTGCTTACACCCCTTTACAAACTCATACAAAGAAGAGGATCCGATGTCCTAGCAAAAAATTCAGGAACATAGCATATCACTGGTGGGATCGGTATGACCGTGAATTTAACAGTAAAAAACTGTATTGGTTAACGGTAAGTTCCCCTACTATATACGGTGAAAAACTGTATTAGACATTACATGTAAATTACGGTAGTATACCGTTTTTGGAAGTGAAAAATAAGGTATAATTTACAGTGAATAACCGTAAATTGACATTCCCAGAATTCCCTGTGCTACATTTCAAATTTTATGTTTTTTTTGTTGAAATAACTATGTTTCTTCTTTTGTACATTAGGGTTGAATGTTACATCTAATGTTGTTAAATTAATGTTTATTGCATTATTTCAGTTTCATGTGTGTTTCCATTATGGTGTTTAGGCGCACAGCACAGCAACATGGAAAGCAGCCTCCGCTTTAAAGACATCTTCTGCCCAGTGCTCTCAACAACCTGAACAATCTTTAGTACTCCTTTCAAAAGAGCCCAAGATGTTCCTTATTTGGGCAGCTCAAGGTAAAGACGGGCAGTGATGTGAAGTTTAGGGGTGGGCACAGTTCGGCACAAACCGCATCCAGGAGCTTTCTGCGGGCAGAGTGCAGCAGTGGGCACAACAACTGCTGACCAAAATCCACTTTCAATAGCAGTGAACAGTCTAGTAGGGATGAATAACATTGCCACATTGTTGACCAGTGGGAGTCTGGCTTTATTGTGTAGCACTGCCAGATCTTTCCTCGGTATGGACGACTATGTGCAGGTTGTTAAAAGTCAATTGTACTTGTGTGGTTTTAAGTCCATTGTACTTGAGGGCTTTGACTCATTCTCATGACTCCAGAGGGAAGTTGAAGAGGTCACTGGATTCTTGTGGAATCAATGTGACTGATTTGTCTTGTTCCAAAAATATATCCATATCTGTGCACTGACCTTGCCTCCAATGATAAAATGTAAAAGGGTTTGGATATGTTAAACGTATATTGACCTATGAGCACTTCTGTTTATTCAGAGTTTGTTCACTCAAGAGTAATCACAGTCATGCTGTTAGTGTCCACCCACCTCCCAGCCCACTTTCCAAACCCAACCCCCTCTTCATGTTCATCAGTTTCTCTTCCCCCTTTTAGTTTGTTCAAAGTTAGACTGATCCCATGCTGGTAGAGAAACTTCTCAGATTTACCAACAAAACAGACATGGACACATCAACTCATTTAAAATGAAAGAAATTATCGTTTGTCTTCATCCTAAAGCCATCCAAATCTAAATGATGCACTAAGAGATGCCAGAATGACTACTCACTTGGAATCCTTCTTCTGGACTTCAGTTGAAATATGTTCTCTTTTGAATTTATTGGACTTTTCCACTACGATGAGATTGGATTTTCATGAGAAAGGAGTTCATCTGCTTTTCATCACTTTTTCAGGCAAGGAACACTCTTAAACATCTGAGAAGTATCCTGAGAATATTTCAAAAGTCAAGGATAAAGATTTGATCAATAGATCACCAATGTCTTTGCACTTTAGTAGGTTAGGTTGTAAATTCAAAATAATCACATTTTCATGGATATAGCCGCCTCCAGTAGGAAGTATGCTCTGATGGGACCTGGATGACAGCCAGACAGAACAAGGGGCGGACAAATGAAACTACAGCAGCAGAAGGAGGAATATGTTTTGTGTTTCCCAATCTAAGAAAAGAAAATTTCTTTGTGTCCATTTCTTCCTCTTAAAACCATCAGTATCTTGGTCTGTTTAAACTATTAAAGTTCTTATCAACGTTGAAAAAAAAATTACATTTGATGCAACAATGATCGCTTTTAATGTGACTCAGAGTCAGGAGACATCCTTGGGAGGATCAGCTATGAGGGAGAACTACGTACTGACATCACCCAGTCCAGAGCTCACAACCCCTGCTGTGATAGAAAGAGAAGTAGTGGCCATGGGCTATATTCTTAGTGTGGGATCCATTTTGATTATCTCCACCAACCTTTTAGTCGCCATTGCCCTGGTCCTGCTCATCCGCAAGAGGGGCTGCCAGAGCTGGTGTTTTGTCTTAAACCTATCCATTGCGGACATCCTAGTTGGCGTGGCTATCACTGGCATTGCCACTGATGCTCTCGAAGGAAAGACAGCCTCCATGGAGAAGGGCATTTGTTTGTTGCGCAT